CGGAGAACCTCCCACAGGCAACGGTGGCCGCGACTCCCGTCGGCCTCCTCACCAACATCCCTGGCGGGCAGAGGCGACTTGCCCATTCCGCAGTAACCAGAGCACCAGCCCCGCCACCTCCACTCGCCTCCCGGCCCCAAGCGCCTCAGCTGCCTGGGCCGGCAGGGCCCAAGCGAGGGACCAGGGGGCGGGGCTCCAGGAGGCGGATACGCCCCGTCCAGCGCCGGCCCCGCCCCGCCGCCGCCGCTGGCCAATGACGATGCGTACGGCGCGGTAGGCCGAGATGGCGCTATGCCGCGTTTGGCCAATCGCAGGCGGTGCAGACCGCGCGGCGACGCCCTGCGAGGCTCTAGGGCGATGTTGCGTGGTGTAGGGTGGGGGCGTGGAGTCGGTCTTCCGCGAGTGGTGGGCGGCTTGGGGGCGGTGGCCGCTTCCCGCGAGGGAAGGTCCGGGGTGTCCTCTTGGATGTACGCAGGGCCAGGGTCCGTTCACCGCTGCAGCAGCAGAACCGGGGTCCTACCTAGGGAGAGGACGATGCCTTTTTGACGTCCGCCGCAGGAATTAGTGACATTTTGGCTGAGAACCTGGAAGATCCAGTAGGCCTTTGCCTGGACAAAGAGGACTGGCCAGGCCCACGGATTAGTTAGACTGATGAACACAGACCCTGTTACCTTGAGATAGAAACGTGGGCAGGGATTCCCGAGGACAAAGAAGTAAAATACCCAGAGGTGGATCCTAAGTCCCCTGAGAGAAGGATGGACAGAGAAATATGGGCAGACGGCAGTTCTTCACGGGAATTGATGGAGGTTGGGCAGGGCGTAGGAGGAAGTTACGTGAAATGTATCCAGGGCAACCAATACCTACTGTGCAAGAGTGAGAAACAGCCCTTGTGAAGCAGTGATGAAACTGTGGAGGCCTGACCCCAGTGCCTTGCTTTTCTTTTTTGGGGGAGGAGAGATTTTTTTCCTGCAGGGTGTTCACTCACCAGAGACACAGAAAGTGGGATATCAACCCCCCCCAACCCCCAGGATAGCCATACTACAATCCCTTCTCCATTCTCCTGGGACAGTCACGAGCCCCTGGCCTGAGTTTTAAGCCCGCAGGTCCAGGACCAGCAAATTGGGTCATGTGAGAGTCCAGCAATATAACCACTACACCCTTGCTGCCCCCTCCCACCCTATTTCTTAACCTTGGACTGCCTCCTTTAAAAATCTACAATGTTGGGAGCCAGCAGGTAGTGTAGTAATTGAGGCACTGGATTCCAGTCTGGTCCACCACAATTCAAGACCTGGACCCCAAGACGTGAAACATACTGGGCAAATGTAGGTGTGTGCCCAGAATCCAGAGAGGAAAATGGAAGAGACAGGATTGCTGCATGGCCATCTCTATGGGGTGAGTTCTTTCTTTCCCTCTGTCTAGCAAGCATAGGCACCCAGAGCAAAAATCTCTTAAAAACAAAAAACAAACAAACAAAAACCTGTAAGTTGGGGGATTACAGGTGGCACAGAGGTTAAAGCACTGCACTCCCACATGGCTGGTGATGGTTCGAGTCCCCAACCTGCTCACACCAGATGTGTGGAATATGTGTGCATGGGTGCCCAAGACCTCAAGAGGATAATGAAGGAGAAGAGATTGAGGAGTACCATCCTGCTTTCTCTCTGTTTCTCTGTGTCTCTCCTGGGAACTCATCTGCCCTGTAGCAAAACTCTCTTAAAAAAACAAACAAACCAAAAAAACTAATTTTTGTATAACTCTGTTGCTATCTATTGAAGCACAACTGAATTGTCAGCTCTCCAGTAAATCTCCACTGACCCTCAGCAAGCCACATAATAGTTTATGCATGTTTTCTTTACTCATTCTCTGTATACTAGGTAAGCTGCAAGAATTATCCCGAGTAGTAAAAACCTAGTGTTAACTACTGTTTTGTTGTGGTTTTTTTGTTTTTTGTTTTTTTTTGTTCCCCCCCCCGTTTTTTGGGGGTTTTTTTGAGAGATTTTCGCTGTAGGGCGCGTGCGCTCTCTAGACAGACAGAGAGAGACATAGAGACAGAAAGCGAGAAATCACCCCCCAGGGGGGATGGTCACGCCACAATCCCTTCTCCTCCATCCTCCTCTTGGGATCCTGGGCACGCACGCACACGCGCCCAGCGTGAGTTTTAAGCCACCGGGTCTGGGACGTGAACCACAGTCGACTACGTGGGAGTCCAGCGACATAGCCATTACGCTAACTGCTGGTTCCCTTAACTACTGTTTTGTAAGCTTGATTGAAAGACATGCACTGGGAAGGCTGATCTAAAGTTGACCCCCCAATGCAGGGAAGGAGTGAAAATACTGGCTGCAGCAGTGACCAACCAAAACAATACCAGTTTCAATAATGGACTATTAGGACTGCTGCTGTAATGAACCAATCAGAGCTTCTCAAATTTCAATTCTTCACTTGCGTGTAAGATTTTGGTTTAAGAGTTACGAGGGAGACCAGCAGATGGCAAATGGTTACGTCGCTGGACTCCTACATAGTCAACCAGAGTTCCAGTCCTGGACCCTGCAGCTTAAAACATACCAGGTGCTTGGGACCAGCAGTTAGCATAATGGCTATGTCGCTGGACTCCCACGTAGTTGACTGTGGTTCTCGTCCCGGACCCGGTGACTTAAAACTCACACTGCGCACCCAAGATCCCAAGAGGAGAATGGAAGAGAAGGGATTGTGGCGTGACCATCCTCCCTGGGGGGTGATTTCTCGCTTTCTGTCTCTCTGTCTCTCTCTGTCTCTGTCTGTCTGGCGAGCGCACGCGCCCTATAGCAAAAACCTCTCCAAAAAAAAAAAAAAAAGCACACACACCAAGTGCTCAGGACCAGCAGTTAGCATAATGGCTATGTCACTGAACTCCCATGTAGTTGACTGTGGTTCGAGTCCCGGACCCTATGGCTTAAACTCACACCTGGCACGTGTGCATGTGTGCCAAATATCCCAAAAGGAGAATGGAGGAAAAGGGATTGCAGCATGGCCATCCCCCTGGGGGGTGATTTCTCACTTTCTGTCTCTCTCTGTCTTTCTGGCAAGCGCACACACCTTATAGCAAAACCTCTCAAAAAAAATAAAATTACACACATACACCAGGCATATATGCGTGTGCATGCCCAAGATCCTGAGAGGAGAATGGAGGAGACAGGATTCCCTCAGGGACATCCCTCCTTGGGGTGAGAGGGTTTGATTTCTTGCTTTTCTGTCTCTCTGTCTCTCTCTCTGGCAAACACATGTGCCCTACAGCGAAAATCTCTCTCTCAAAAAAAAAAAAAAGGAACATACAAAAGCCAATCCCTGGGTTTAACAAACCCTCTAATATGTTTTTGGAGAGGTTTTGTTTTTTTGTTTGTTTGTTTGTTTTGAGAGGTTTTCACTATAGGGCGTGTGCGCTCGCCAGACAGACAGACAGAGACATAGAGACAGAAAGCGAGAAATCACCCCCCCAGGGGGGATGGTCATGCCGCAATCCCTTCTCCTCCATTCTCCTCTCGGGATCTTGGGCACGCACACACATGCGCCCGGCGTGAGTTTTAAGCCACCGGGTCCGGGACGCGAACCACGTTCGACTACGCGGAAGTCCAGTGACATAGCCATTATGCCAGCTGCTGGTTCCCGGTAGACAGTCTTTTGAGCAAACCTAGGAATTCCTTGGTTGACATTTCCTGTAATAAAGCCTTCATCCTCAACAAACATCATGGTACAAAGATTGGCCTTTCCGGTGACGAGCAACTGATTCCTGATGGTTAGTACCTAGTTAGGTTTAGTAACACTTGAGTTACTAAAGGTTAACCCAGTTAACCCTTAAATTTTCTGAGGGAAGGATCTGTATGATAAATCAGAATCACCCAAACACCTAAAGCAATGATTTGGACTCAGTTTATTCTCCATTAAAAAAAAAAAAAAGAATGAATGATGAATGACAGCAGAGTAAAAGGAAGAGTAGGCAGCTAGAATCAGAAGATACAGATTCCAGCTTTGTAATATTAGAAAGGATAAGTGACAAGTCACTCAACCTCTAGGAAGAGAGGGAAATTTTTTAATGAAACTCTAGGTCTCTTACAATCCTGACCAGATAATGTGTGGTATTAAAGAAAATATGGTACCTTTCATCATTTTTATCCCTAAATATATATATTAATCTAATAATAATTCCCAAAATATTCGCAAAGCCCTTGAACCACTTTGATTTTAAAAATGAGGAAAATGGGGGCCAGCAGGTGGTGTGGTGGTTGAGACACTGGACTCCCACATGGCCAACAGTTTTTCAAGTCCCAGACCTGATGGCTTGCTCTCTCACTTTCTCTTTCTCTCTCTGTCTCTCTCTGGTCAAATTTAAAAATAATAATAATGGGACCAGTAGATGGTGTTAGGATTACGTCGCTGAACTCTCATGTAGTTGAGTGTGGTTCAAGTCCTGGACCTATTTTATAGAGACGTGGTCACATATCTGAAGCATAGCAGAGTCTGAATTTCAAGCTAGGAAATCTAGCTCAGAAATCTAGAACTTTGTGTTTGTTTGGCTTCGCTTTTTCTTTCCCACAAGAAGATTTAGGTATTTTAAAACAATAAGGGGACCAGCAGATGGTGTAATGGTTATGTCGCTGGACTCTCATATAGTTGACCATGGTTTGAGTTCCAAAGACACACCATTGTTTAGGGCCACTTTATAATAAAGATGGCAATAATACCTAACACTGAGTAATTACTGCTTGTCACCAATGTTAAGTAAATTACCTTCTTTACCTCATTGATCCTTACAACAAGCCCATGAGTCAAATGTTATTAATATCTCTATTTTAGGAGCCATCAGATGGCATGGTGGACTCCCACATGGCTGACTGCAGTTCAAGTGCCAGACCTGGAAGCTTGAAAATCACCCTAGGTGTGTGTGTATACATGCCCAAAATCCCAGGAGGAAATGAAGGAGA